GAGTGGCTTCGCTCGTCTACGGGATGAAGGGGCTTGATATGGGAGTGGAAGGGAGAAGAAAAAGACAAAACAAAATTATTCATTACTGCTTACTCTCTCGTACTCATTGAAGGGTATGGAGTGACTCAAACTAACCTCATGTAGCGGCTCCTGCGAAGTTAAAGTTTGCCCGGCTCTGGATTAGAGGATTGGCCCACTGTTTAGCGTTCGGGAGAAGACCGGTTCTATTCCAATACACCCTGGTCCAAATTTTTCTGTGGTTTTCTTAGATCATTTAGGCAAATGCTGGGGCAGTAATATTCCACAGATAATCTTTTATTCCTCCAATTCATTCGTCTCATCTTTCTCACCTCAAACACCACTACCCACTTTCCCAATTTCTAAAAGAAGACTGAAAAGGGCCTTTCGCCTTACCCTTCAGTGTAGTCTGGAGAGACTGTCTGCCCATTTGTACTATTAGCTAAGATGCTTTTTTTTATCAATATTGTAGAAATTGTAATGAATTTACGCATGTAGGATTATGTCCAGTTTTTCATTATACTACATCTTCCAACAGCTACTCAATTCAAACCTTCTATGTTTTTCTTTTTTGTCGCATCTACTGGATCCCTTTGGTACCCGTTCTGAATTGCGGTGCTTCAAATTATTAGAACCAAGAATAGGTATAAATATGGGAGTTAATAAACTAGATGAAGTAGCTGATTTTCAATATTTATGGAGTCAGATAACTTAGAATAGAAAAAATGCTATACATATAGGTGTAAGAAACAAAGGATAGCGCAGGGATGTACCACTCCTCAGTTTGAGCCGGAGTTGTTAGTAATTTTCCTTAAATACAAAAAAGGAAATGACAATAATTAGGAGAAATATTTCACCTCTGACTTTCTCATAAGCTCGCCAGAGTACTGTTTCAATAATTGTGAATTTTATTGACTCTTCTTACGTTTTCTACTACAAATGACAGTGTAATAAAATATGATGCACCAAAATCTTCCTAGAAGGATACGGATAGTCTTACATATGAGAAAACAATTTTGGGAATTGGCATTTTGGTTTTTCATCATCTTTTAACAAAAATAAAATAAATGATCAGTATGACGAGTTTTTATTCGCAGCTATTAATTTCACTTTTATGGCATACCATGAGGCTATAGGAGAAGTCCTATGTCATAAATGACCATATATTAGAAAACAGATAAAATAATCCGTTACTCTTCAAAACGTACCAGAGACAAAACATACAACCCGATTTTCCGCGACATAACATACCACTTCTACCTTCAGAGGGTCATTTTTTAATTTGTTGATGTCAAAACGTATCACCAAAGGTACATGTGTCGTAATAATAGTATACTGTAGGTTGTAGTCAGCTGATTATGAAGATTTGGTTACGCAGATTTATGACAAACCGGATATTCCTGAAAGTTCCTTCTCGCCGAAAGCGGGCTGATATGTTGAAATAATATTACGAGGTTAGGTTAGGTTGTGAAATTTTTTTTTTAAATAATTGTTTAAAAAAACCCAATATTGCTCAAATAAAATAATTCGAAGTGGTCTGTATTCTGTCGAAACTGCCAGACGCGGATCGCGACCGTGTTGGAGCATACTTAATCCTAAAACGTAGCATCGTACTACAGATGGCGTTTACCTCGCCATTTGTGGTATTTTCTAAAACGATGGTACGTTTTATCGCATCCAAAATATATTAAAGCAACTAGTAGACCATTGGCAGATAGACATACTACATTTTGTCGCATGGTACGTTTTGTAATGTACTCAAGTAATCAATATGACTAGTTTTTATTGACTGACGGTTGTTTTTTCTATTCTTACAGCTTTCCATGAGGCTATAGGAGAGGCCATTGGTCTTTCAGTGGGCACACCCAAACACTTGCAAACAATCGGTCTCGTACAAAATTCTATCGAAGATACATCTGTCGATATCAACTTTTTGTATTCAGTCGCTTTGGATAAAGTTGCTTTTCTACCCTTCGCTTACGTTATGGACCTTTGGAGATACGATGTCTTCAGAGGACAAATTGGAAAGGACCAATACAACTGCCACTGGTGGAGACTGAGGTACATACCAATATTATTTCAATGTTTTATTTTTAAAAGTGCATTTATATATCCCATCTTAGGAACAGCAATAGTAATTGAATGTATTATTGAATTAATTTTACCCACTACAGATAACCTCAAATTAATAAAGAAAAATTGTTGCTGGTGTCACTCCCTTGTCGGGAATTGAAACCGAACTCCGGGTTTTACGCCCCAGTACTCTACCACTAAGATACAAGAAGGTGATATACTTCGTTTACTTTCTGTAGCGATGTGACCTGCAGTTTGATCGGCGCAAAGTAGCAAAGAACAGCACTAGGTCAGAAAAGGAAGGAGACAACTCTCATAACCGGTGAGGAGCGTATAATCCGTAGAGTACTGCACGGAAAAATTGACCATTTCATCCACTATAATTTCATTGCTCAATTGTGCTGTTATTGGTACCATTTACTACTGAAAATATCAACGAGATGTTTATTTATATTTGAAGACATATTAAAGGCTTCAACGCTTGTTTTCAACTCGCACTACTATTCATGACTGAACAAACCTTTTGGCAGGTACTGTATGAAAAAGTATGTTTAATGAACAAGAGTCGAGAGTATAATGAGGTTTTTTCTCCCTACCTACGATTTTACCAGCGCGCATCCAAGACATTGGAAGGGGCACATCGCTACAGAATGTAAATGAAGTATACCAGCAACAATTCTTCCTCATTAATTTGAGGTTATCTGTAGTGTGTAAAATTAATTCACTAATACATTGAATTAACGCTAGAAAAATTCTCAGTATCTCAATAGTAATTGACTTGTGATTTACTAAATTTCTAGCTAATAGACTTCAAAAAAATAATAATAAACAAATCGACATAACAAGTATCTATTTATTACGTTTAAATTTATTATTATAAAAATCCCTGAACTGAAGCAAAAACGTAAGGAATATGGGATTTGTTTACACCGGAACTCTAGCAAAGTTTGGCCAATAGTAATAAGAAGAGTTCCAGTCTTGGTCTTGGCCTCTCTCAAATAAATCTAATCTTGGCCTTGGCCTTGGTCTTGCTAATATAGTCTTGGTCTTAGTCTTGAGTGTTAAATCTTGGTCTTCCTCATTTAATCTAATTCTTGCGTTTCTTTTAATAATTCCTTAAGCACAAATTTTTCCTTATTATAATAATTATTAAAGATATTTATATGCATTTTCGCAAGAACAAGACGAAGATTGCATGAAGTAAACCAATTTTGTCCACCACTATTGACCAATGTGTCGCTCTGTAAAATTTCGAATGCTATAGAAAAATAAGGGCGATATTACGTATTGGTATATTGTTTGTTCACATTTTTTCCTATTCATATTACGTCCTTCGGGAAAGGCTGGTTTCGTCTACGGTTTATTCGGTATACGTTTAAACACGAGGAACGGACTATTAAGGTATCATCATCATCATCATAGGGTCGTCAGTCCTAAGACTGGTTGGACACGTACCTCCACTCTTTCCTATCCTGAGCTAAACTTCGCATTTCCCTAAAACCAGAACAACCCACATCCTTAACTATTTGCGAACAGTAATCTAACCTAGGTCTACCTCTACCCCTCCTAACTCCTGTTTCTGCCTCTAATATGTCTCTGACGAGACCTTCATGTCTGAGAAGGTGTCCTGACACCCTATCTCGCCTATTTCTTATTGACTTCCATAGAGTCCTCTGTTCTCCTAGTCTTTCTAATACCTCTTCATTACCTTTTCTACTCACTTTATTCTCACCATTCGCCTATAACGCTACATTTCGAACGCTTCTAACCTTTTCTTCTCCGCCACGTACAACGCCGTGCTCCAAACATACACCTTTAACAACCTTTTTCGAATTTCTAAATTAACCCTTCGCGAGCATAGAAGTGACTTCTTTTTATTAAAGGCGACACGACCCTGCGCTATCCTCTGCTTTATATCCCTACTACTCCTTCTGTCCTGACTTATCTAACTTCCTAGATATCTAAAATCAGTCACTTCTTCTAATTTTTCGTCTCCTATCTTTATATTCGCTCTTTCCCTACTTTTTCTTCCCTTGCATACCAGTATTTTAGTTTTACTTGACGCTAATACTGCTATGTCATCTGCAAATCTAAGCATACTAATTTTCCCCCTACTGTCTTTAATGATGTTGATGGCGCCTTCGATGTATATACCACTATTTACAACAATCGTACTAATTTTTGCTCTGATGGTTCCTGATATATAATATGTAAAAAAAAGTAGATAAATGAGTAACACTGAATGTAACTATTACTCTCGAAATCAAGTTAGCATTTCGACAGAACTTTTAACTGTACTTTCACTAATTAATTGCATACAATTCAGTAAAGCGAGCATATGTTACACATTAACCTGCTGACAACTTTCGTTTTTATTTCCTATTAACAATAAATTACATAATAAAATATGTACATTTTCTCAATTAGAACGCATAAAGCAGATATTAGGAGAAAAATGACGTTTAAGGAACATTTTAACGTTTGTTTAGGGAAATTTACTTATAATAAAACATGCATGGAATATTTTTGGTTTGAAAAATAACAGATTTTAAATGATGCATTGTAAATTGATTTAGGCCGAGACGAAATGTTTTTAGTAATTAAAGGGTATTTTTAGTCACATTAATATTTTTATTACGTATAGACGATTAATTTCTGATTTTCTCGCATTCTGGTAAGGTCATTTTACAATTTTTTTGTAGATAAAATTCGCAATAAAGACTAAATTTTCATAATTAATTCATTAATTAGTCGAAAAATTTATTATAGCTTTACCCTTTGTAAATAAACCAAAATGACTTCATTAGTAAACAATTCTTGAAGCAGGCATTGTGACCGAAAAACGATCCCCTCTATAATTTCGTTAGGTAATGTCGAAAATTTATTTTAATAATAATCGTATCAATTTACTTCACAATAATTTTTTTTTGTTTGATAGTTATAAATTCCTTATCATTAAAAATTAAGAGTTAAATAATTGTTTAATTAATTGTAATTATTTTGTTAACAGGGAGCAATACAGCGGTCTGAAGCCTCCTGTACTTCGTTCTGAACACGATTTCGACCCTGGCAGTAAATACCACATTCCAGCCAACATCCCCTACATGAGGTAAGTGAAACATAATTGCAAATAAAACACCCAATCGGTAAATTAAACTTATTTAATAAAATTAACAATATACAGTAGGTACAAAGGTTTTTGAGAAATACTGCTAGGAAATTCAACTAGAAAATATCACCGGTTTTATTGTTGAAGTTTAGTGGTGTTCGTAGCCACCACCCCCACCACTCAATTCATGTCCACCTCCGAAATCACCCCCGTCACCTCCACCGTAACCGCCGCCGTATTCAATTTGAATTTCTTCTTCTTGATGATGTTCCTTGACAGGTACCGGAATTGGTACTTTAACCGGGTATGGGACGAGTTTAGAAACGGGAATTGCTACTTTCTTATAAACGGGATAGGGCACGGGTTTGTCGACTTCAATTTTAACTTGGTACGGTACTGCCTTTTCTACTGGATATGGAATATTTTTCTCTACTGGGTATGGGTGTGGTACAGGTACCTTAACTGGGTACGGTTGAGGTTTTTCAACTGGGTAGGGAATATGTCTGTCGAAAGGTACTTTGACTGGGTACGGTACTGGTTTTGGTACAGGGTATGGAATCTTCTTTTCTACTGGTACAGGCACTGGTTTGGGTATGTGAACGGGGTACGGTCTGTCGACATGAACTTTAACGGGGTAAGGTACGATTTTTTCGACAGGGTATGGCTGAGGTACATGCACGGGTATTTTCACAGTGTAAGGTACCTTTTTCTCGACGGGGTAGGGTTGTGGTACGTAAACCTTAACCGGTACTGGAATTTCTTTCTCCACGGGGTATGGTTGGGGTACGATAACCTTGACGGGATAGGGCTGGTCTACTGGTACTTCAACGGGATAGTGGACGGGCTTTTCTACGGGGTACGGTTGTGGTACTTTAACTGGCACGTTGATCCTGTATGGTACCGCGTATGGTACCTTCTTTTCGACTGGGTACGGCTGGGGTACATTTACTTTGTAAGGTACGTGGACGGTCTTTTCGACCGGTACAGGTACCTGTTTTTCCACCGGTACGGGTACAGGGACGTTTTTAACAACCGTCACTGTTTTTTCGTGTAAACCTTCGTAACCACCCCCATAACCGCTGCCGCCCCCAAAACCGCTGCCGCCCCCGAAACCGCTGCTGCCCCCGTAATCGCCACCTCCGAGTCCGCTGCTTCCATAGTCACCGCCACCCTGTTCATACCCTCCATCTCCGCCTCCTCCATAACCCAGTTCGATTCCTCTTTTGTCTTGGCGTTTGTCCTCCGATTGGGTCTCGGCAGGCCGAGAATCTTCCGATTTTTTGTTACTTTCTGCGACGGATTTCTTGGGTTCTTCAGCAGCTACTAGTAGAACGAGCGCAAAAAGCGCTGACAAACCCTGAAGTTAAATAACAAGTTTTAACCAAAAATTAAATATATGTAAAAACTAATACACGTAACGTAATTCACGCCCAGTGGTAGCATTCAAAAATAAATGGAAGTGTACAAATTTGACAAAATTCTATTTATTTATGTGATTCGTTTTTGTTTAAACCAATTCTGCTCGATTAAAATTTAATTTCGTCGGATTAAAAATCAATTTTTGTGTAATTATTCAGTTTAGATTTAGCTAAACAGTTCAATATCATCATCATGATCGTAGAGTGATCAGTTGAATATCATCATCATGATCGTAGGGTCATCAGTTCTAAGACTGGTTGGACACCCACCTCCAATAGTAAACAGTGATCTAATCTAGATTTGCCTCTACTACTCTACTCCTGTTTCTGCGTCTAATATGTCCCTGTAACATTAGATTTCGAACGCTTCTAACCTTTTCTATTCCGCAGCGCCCACAGTTCAATATAAGACAATAAAATTCTTATATCGAACTAGTCGGTTATTGACAAAATTAAACATAAATAATTAAATTAAAAAAATCCCGAAACCTATAAAACTATATTTTTTACGTGCTCAAAAATATATTTGTTACAACATTCTTACTTTGACATCATCTGTCATTAAAAAAGTCGTGTGTACATCGTGTTAATTGCAATTAGCTGTAGCTTTAGAAATAAACTCGATTAATTTAATTAATTTTTCGTAATATTCTAATTCCTAATCCGTTTATATTTAATATAATTAAAGGAAACTTTGAATCAGAACAAAATAATTAATCAATAAGTTTGCAAAATATTTAACATTTTTATAGTATTTCATTATTTATTTTGGTTGTTATTAAGTATCTAACGAATGAGTTATTTGTTAATTAACTCAAGTCGTGTCTATCCTGATTACATTAATAATATTATAATTCAAAAAATTTCTTACGAAAGCATACACTGCTTCTATTTATTCGTGTATACGTTGCAATTTTATTTATTGAAGTGTGTATCATGTCACGCTTTCTAACACTCGCACGCTTCAACCATGTGCCTTCCATGTTAATATAAACGCTAATTAGACATCTTGTACCATATCTTTTCTACAAGAAAAAATCTACGCATCGCGAGTAAAACCGAGTCGTTATTTAACGAATGGATGGAAAAACGATTATATCTAACTAGCGTTCGGTTCGAAATGCATGAACCAGTTACATGCAAATAATTATCGCAAAAGTTACATCTGAAGTTTCCTTATTTAGTGGCAAGTTTTAGAAAATGTAATTACTGGTTCATGTCGACTGTGAGGGTCTTAAAATTATAGCAATGTAATTATTATTTGATAATTAGTGTTGACTGATGTTTAGATATCATATTTATGTTATATAATTATTAGAACTGTGTATAGAAATGTTACTATTGAGAAAGTGTACAAAATTGAGATAAAGTTGTTGAACATGTTAAACATTAAGTAATTAGTCTCAAAATTAGAACGATTAACATACTTAAAGTTCATATTTTTAGCTATTCTCCTAAATATTTCTAAATTATGCACAATTTTTTATTCAACAGGTCAGTACTGTTTTTTATATTAATATTTAAATATTAAATAAGGAAAAGATCAGTAATTGTATGCATGTAGTCTAAAACTAAGTAACTGACTTAACAAGTGGGTAGTTAATGTATTTACTGACTAATTAATTGGAATTTTTATACTCATCTTTTATTTTTATTTTAACCATTTCGGTAATAAAATAGTGTCCGAAACTTGACTTGCATACTGAAGAAATTAATCTTTATTTAAGAAAAAAAAGGAGATTAGTCTTAAGATTGGTTGGACACTAAAACATCCCACATCCCTAACTATTAATAGTAATCTAATCTTAAGTCCACTTCTACTCCTCTTAATTCCTGTTTCTGCTTCTAATATGTCTCTGACTAGACCTTCATGCTTGAGCAGAACCAACCTATCTTACCTATTTCTTAATTAATTACACTAATTTAAAGTTGTTTATAAGATAATGTCTCTATCAGTTTATTTTTGAAAAACATGATTAATTTTAAAGTATGCTAATCCTTCATGTAAATGAAACTTTCATCTAAATAATAATTGCAGTAATACTTAGCAAACAACATTGTTGAAATAGCTATATTAACAACATTTCCGCTGCCAATAAAAGCACAATTTATTCCAACTTGATACTACACGGAAATTGACTCTATTACATGAGAGATCGCTGTTTGCCATATGTTGTGTGTTGTCACACATCGTGCCATTATCTTTCCCAATCAACATACTCGACTCTCCTACCATCGATAACTCAATTAAAGTATAATTTTGCGTTTAGTTTGTTTTATTTCATAAGATTGTTCGTTTTAGATAAATACTCTAGTTCGAGTTTAAAGTTGTGGGAGATTCTGGTAGAAAGCGATAATTTGTGCACTTTTCACTTTAGATTTATGGTTGAAGCTTTGCATTTGTTGGACATTTGTAGATATACATAAATAACCGCCTTTCACTACGAATTTTTACAGTTAATTGACATTTTTAGTGTACCTGACTGATGGATTGCTTTTAATGACATGCGATTTCTGGAACAACTTACTGCTACACTCATTTGCTTATTTTTAATTAATTAATACCTGCTAGCCTAATTTTTCAGGTGCAACCAAGTGATAATTAATCCAATTTACAATATTGAAGCGTTTCAATTTAATTAACAAGTTCAATATTTCATTATAACCAAAGTTCTCTAAAGAAAGTCGCCGGGTTCGTCGCGTGACGCACTGTTGATGTCTCCGAGGAAATCTCTCAAAAAGTGGTACAGAAATGCACTATTTTTAGAAAATTACTGATAAGTAACGTTCTTTACTACTTTAAGTTACTAACTTCAAAAATTCAAACATAGATTTTATTGTAGAAGAACATTGTTTCCGGAAAAAGGTAGTTGAATACTAAAACAGTTTTGTGGCGACGAAATCAATATCGAAATTAACAAAAATGCTTTAAGTACAAACATACAAAACTAAGTAGAGATATTATGTACATTAGCCAAAATAATTATAATATTTTTTATATTTTTTTATATCAAAAACGTATTTAGTTTATGTCTAGTACATAACATTTGAATAAAAATGATGAGGAAAACAACTTGATCAACTTCTTTAACAAAACATAAAAATCGATAATTTGCTCTGAAGAGGAGGAACACCAATCAACCAATATTAGTTACTGTAAAAGCATTCTAGGTGAACAAATTCTGTTAACAACCATTTTTATCACAGTAGAGATAGTGATAAAGCAAACAAACTAAATATTATTTTATTGCAGATAATCTAAAGTCTATTTCTCTCACACTAAAAAACATGAAGTTCTTATCTTTTCTGTTGCTGTATGTATCAAATTATATTGAATTGAAATTTAAGTATTAGGTGCTTATATAGTACCAACATTACTGATAATGATAATAATTATTATTTCCTCCAATCTTGTACCGTTTGAATATTATATCACTTGTTACGAATCGCATATTAAACATTAAAATTAATTGTAGCATACAATAATTCAACGCGAGTGTAAAAGTGATAAATTAATGTTAAGTAATGGATAACTTTTGGAAAAATATTACATTTAATTAAATACCAATTGCAATTTGCACATACGTGTTTAGACTCAGACTTAGCTGTAATTGATATAACTTTTTATCTGTTATTAGATATTAGTTGTTTTTGATGTTCGCAAAGTGGTAAAGAATTTTTTTCACGAAAATAAAACAAAACACTAAAATGCGTGCCACTAGCCGTTAAAATTAGATTAACTATGCCACCTTACCAGCAATCTCATTCTGCACGATTAAAACAAACCAAGAACTTAAACTGCGTACCATCGAAGATGTCGATTCGGTTTTTATAAGACATCCTGAACTTTCGCTTTGACTCCCTCCGAAGCATCCTGGTCATGCAGTCTTGAGCTTACCTATCTGCATACATACATACGCGCCTCTACCACTACCATTCCTCGTTTTATTCTTCTTCTTCTGCTTCTGTTCGGTTTTCGCATGCTTCTTCCTTGAAAGTTCTGAGCGCGGCTAACTAGACTCGCAATCCTGCGAAATTGTTTTGCCACACGAACACCGTCCGTACATACACACGTTTATGAATGTATGCATACATTACATGTGTATTAGCGTAATAAGTATGTAGTTTAGTAGTAGATATAAATACGCAGATAAGAGCAATTAAAAACGCAGTAGGCGCTTCTAATGCTTATCGCAGTAGGTTAATAAATCTTATTCGTGGTGCCGTTCTAATACTACATCGTTGCACTTGTAATAATTTATTCTGGTATTCAATTTGATGGATTTTAATGGTTCCGTATCAATAAAAGTTCTTTTAAAGGTGTAAAAGTTTAAAAAAGGGTGCAGTTAATAATAATGTGAAAATTCATATAATGTTTATCCACTACAAGCTATCTCAAATTAATAAGAAAAAATCGGTTGTCTGTAAAGTCGGTTTACTGACGATAGTTGAACGTAACAACGTCATAAGAAAATACTGATGGAATGGTTTCATTTTTCAAAAGAAACTTTTAATTTTATTTGTTTGATAGATATTTTGTATGGATATAGAGAAGGAGGTAAATGGAAATGTATTATTGTATAGCAGCTGTCCACGCAGACGCATCGCTCACTCAAGTAGGAGAGAGACAGATGTCGAACGCTGCCGAACGCGGAGGCCGATTATGCCTCTTTGTCGCTCGTTCCGCGCTCTCGCTTGCATTTCAAGCCTTAAATGGAACGCCTCAGAGCGAGGTAACGCCGCATGAGTCGTGTTTTTTCGTGCGTGCAGCCGGCTCTATCGAATTATAAGACGTTGTCACGTCAAAAATTGTTGATACTGTTATACCCTCGCCGGGAATCGAACCCGAGACCTTTGGCCTTACATACCAATGCTTTGGCCAGTAATCTACGTAATCTACAGTGGTCCATTTTCTGGATTTTTCATTGTGACTATGATGTTTTTTACATTTCAAGAAGAAGAATTAAAAATAATGTGTCTTACTAATTTCTATTTATTTAAACTTCGCCAATAATCGACCAGTTCAATATGAGGGTTTTATTGTCGTATTGTCGAATTAAGGGGTTTTTTTCTAAAATTTTTATCCAGGGTGCAAACTAGAGTCACCAGCTTTTATACTTTTTTACACACAACACTCAGAAGAAGTACAACTTCAAATATTTATATTTTCCCTGGACACTTCCAAACAATGCTACCTAAAAACTTGAAAGCAATCTTGGAGGTATTCTTTAATGAAGTTCTTCGATTAAAATCATTTTGAATAACAATGCTGTATTAAATTTTGAATAGGAAACAAGTTCGAAATTGGTAAACAGTTTTGGAAATTAATCGTGTACAGTGTACCTATATATCCAACACAATTTTGTATATTTTGATTAGTATGGAAAAAGTAGGTAATTAACGATACAGTATTACAATATTTAATTATTATTGGTATAGTTACGGCGCTGTACGTGCAAAACATGACGGTGGACGCGGCAGAAAATTTAAGGTTAGAATCGTTCGAAATGTGGTGTTACAGGTGAATGATGGGGATACCGTGGATAGAGAAGGTTAAAAATGAGGAGGTATTGGAAAGAGTAGGTGAACAGAGGGAAGTCAATAAGACATAAACTAGATAGGTTGGTCTTCTTAGGCATGAAGGGCTAGTTAGAGGCATATTAGAAGCAGAAACAGAAGCTAAGAGGAGAAGAGGTAGACATAGATTAGATTACTGTTCACAAATTGTTAAGGATGTGGAATGCTCTAGGTTTAAGCAAATGCAAAAATTAGCTGAGGATAGGAAAGAGTGGAGGTGGCTACCCAACCACTGACTACCTTATGATGATGATGATGATACTTGTTGAGATCATCAGTCTGAAGATTGTTTAGTCATGTACCTCCACTCATTCCTGTTTATGCAAATTTTCGTCTTTTCCAATATTAAATATAAAAACTAACTTCGGTCCTTAGAGGTGGAATATTATCTTGAATTTGTAATAGGATTGCTGTTATCTCTTTTTCTCTTCTTCTTAATTGATTTCGATAACGCGATCTGCTCTCTTATGTTTTCTAATACTTCGTCGTTTCTAATCTTTTCATGGTATTTTATAATCCGCTGTACCTACCATATCTCTAAGGCTTGTAATTTTTTCTTTTCCATCACGCCCTCCGTCCACGTTTTACACTCAAACGTATACTTTTAATAATCTTTTTCGAATTTCATAGTTAACCGTTCGCAAGCACAGAGGTGTTTTCTTTTTGAGCCTGTATTATTATTTCATTCTCTTTGATAATGGTTTAGCAGCTGAAACAGTTGTTAGAGTGTTCTAAACAAAAGTGTACCAAGTGTTTTATTTCTTATATCTTACTAAATATGTTTCACCAAGTGCCTAGCCAAGAATCAATTTCTTACATATTATTATTTGTTTTACGTATTTACCCTTTTTCAATTCTAAATTATCTGACCTCCTGGATAGCGAAAGTCAGTCACTTCTTACAGTTTTTGGTACCCAATTTTTATATTAGGTTCGATTATGCAGAATTATTTGAATATTCCTGTTTGTAAAATTAGTAGTAGTAATTACTATATGTTCCATCGACTTGTTTAAGCATTGTTTTCTTAATACTTACGAAACTACGACAGATCGTACGTACTACATATGTTTAAAAATTATTCTTCCTACAACATTTGCCACAAAACTTTCTCGCATTCTCTGATAAGCAATTGAGAATGATACGGAAGATGTGCTTTAGTAGAAATTAATAACTTGGCTACTTTAATTTCACGTTAATTAACACTCAAATAAGAATCATTTATAGTCGTAGTAAAACTTCAGTAACAGACTGCAAAAGTCTCAAGTTATGTTCCTACTGTTAAATCCGGATTTCGTTTACTAAATATTCTCTTCAGATATTTAACAAAGAAAAACTCGTACAGGATGGTCTAACAGTTCGTTCAAGTACAAAACCTCAGTTAAGAAAACAGGTCGAAAAAGCTTAACACGAATGTTGTACAGGGTGTAGATCATTCCGTCCAGGAAATTCCATTTTTTTTGGGCTATACGAGTTGCTGGGGCTTGTACTGAATCATTCAAGATTTGTCGTCATTTTTATGAAAATGTCGGGTGTGTATTTGACATGTTATATCTTTTTTAATATATGCCAGCAATAATAATTTTGTTATAGAAACAGCTTGTAAATGTGTTCTGCTTTCAAATTTCTTAAGACGATTGAAAAACACTTTTTCTTAACATAATGTACTAATTAAAAAAAAACACCTACATAAATTCGTACTAATATGGGCAAAACATCGGTTATTAGTTGCATAAAAATAAACAATTCTTCACATGTTGGAAGCTTTTGATTCAATGAACATTTGAAAGAAATGAGAACTACAATATCTCTTTTAATTAATCAGCACATATGCAAGTCTTCTTTAAACAATCAATAACTACGATCAAGGACAAAAAGTCTTTCAAACGACTAGGTCGGTCTCGTATCATGCTAATAGTTAACGCACATGGTGTATCGTTATTTTCCGTAAGGCGTAACAAAGTTAAGAGCAAATTCAACAAATAATTAATTAATAAATAATAAATAAATGAAGTGTTAAAAAGTGTTTTTTTAAAAAGCTTAAGGAATATTACCGGCCTTTAACTTACTCTTCAATTGTATGCAGATTACAGGAATTTCATAGCTCGAGGCAGAGTCATACCTTCTTGAGTTTTTTCCTTTATTGGCTTCTGGCTCGTATTCTTTTGTTGCATACCAGATGGTAATGGTGGCACCAGAACAATTTTTGATTTTGTCACATAATTTAGAGTTAGTTACGTTTTGTCCTTGCGTTTTGAATTTATATTTTCCTTGAAGTGCCTGGAGTTGCAAATTTGTTTAAAAATACATATAATTAAAAATTGACTGGTCGGAGAGAATTTTTAAAAAATTCATGAACGAATTTATTGTAACTCTTGTTCTCACTATAGCTGTTTTTTTAAGTTTAAAAAATTCTAATTACTAATCAATCAGCGTCAGATGTTATTTAATTTTTGCTTCTTAATTCTTAAGAAGAGTTATTAGACTATTTTCTGTTAGGTTATATTAATTAAGGTTAGGTTGGGTAAGATAAAATTTACGAATAATGAAATATTTGACATAACTGTTCCTAACCATCCATATTTATCGAATTTTTCTACTCCTAACGATCCTGTTGGCTGCTTTAGAACGACCCTGACCTTTAAAAACCAGGACACTAGAAATATTTTTTTTGAAGTTACAGTGAAGTCAATACAGTATCGTTAATAAGGAAATTATGAATATGTATTATATTTATAAAACAGAATTGGAAACCGCTGACCATAAGTCATTATATAACATAATATACTTGTTAATAGACATATGGCAGATGTGATCAGTATGTAACAGTGAAAATAATAATGATTCTTAAATGTTACTGAAAAGAGCTGTACCTGCTGACGCATGTTGAAATTCAAACTGATAAATAATTAATAATTAAGTAAAATATTATTNAAAAACCCTCCAAAGTTAAGAGCAAATTCAACAAATAATTAATTAATAATAAATAATAAATAAATGAAGTGTTAAAAAGTGTTTTTTTAAAAAGCTTAAGGAATATTACCGGCCTTTAACTTACTCTTCAATTGTATGCAGATTACAGGAATTTCATAGCTCGAGGCAGAGTCATACCTTCTTGAGTTTTTTCCTTTATTGGCTTCTGGCTCGTATTCTTTTGTTGCATACCAGATGGTAATGGTGGCACCAGAACAATTTTTGATTTTGTCACATAATTTAGAGTTAGTTACGTTTTGTCCTTGCGTTTTGAATTTATATTTTCCTTGAAGTGCCTGGAGTTGCAAATTTGTTTA